TATTATTTATTCAAAATTATATTGTTATATATTGTCACCGACACATTTACACTAGTCGCCCATGTGCATATTTTCCCACACAGATCACGACAGTATTCACTATAACGAGAAAATCATGATCGATTGATGCTCCTTACCTTCTCTCGCACAAGCATCATGCCATACTGGCGGCTCCGGAAAATTAATATGAACCTCAGACACGCAGCTCAACGGCAACAACCTGAAAAAACAATACGCATGTGCGGATTAATTTCATGGCGCGCGACAAATTTACATCGGTAAACATTCTCGAGCGTCTCCACCAATGATATGAACATTTCTAGGGCCTTCTAACAAGCACTTCTGCCGAATCGATGCACACCTAAAAACAAACGATTGTGAAAAAATCACCCGGAGGAAATTTTTGGGACGTTTTTACGCAGAAGAACACTCAATTCCCATCTGACTATGGAAGAGATATGGTAGATCATAGGGAGTTCAATCCACGTGGGAAGTTCAAAATGAGTTGCGCCTCCCGGAAACATTATAAATTCATGTACAGTGTTGGAGAAATATATGTTCGCTTTCCTCAGCTGAGTTTAGAAGTTTCCTCCTCAATTGTACAGAAGTTTACATACGAATTCGAGTACGAGTGTAAAGAAACCAATGATAAATTCCTAAAAATTTCCACGAATGTCACCTACACATGTAGTTGACGACGTGCATATTTTCCCACACCGTCTCGAACTGAATACAAAATTGCGGAGCGAGCGAAGCGAGCGGAGCATATACCGCAACAACAGACACTTTTGCGTTGTGCGTGCGTGCAGAATTATTCTGGCTTAACTACGCAGCGTAGGAGGCTATCAGATAGATCAAACGACTCCTCTATATGCCGAGGTGTAGATAGAAATCGGAAAACTCGATTATGCGAACAAAAAAATGAAAAGATATGCACGAAAAACTTTAATGACGGAAAAGTGCCCTATTCGGGGATCGAACCGGGGACCTATGTCAAATTCATTGATCGAATCAATAGACGTGGACTAAGTGAGCTCCTCCCCTTCGTCACGAAGGCCT